CGCAGACTCTCTGTCAGCAAAGCCGCATCCGTCCTGCAGAGAGATGGTCACTGTGGCTGCCCACACCCTGACCCGGCAATTTCCCTGCCACGGTGAGAAACCTCCTGCATTCCAACTGGGTCTTCAGCCTGGCCGGGGAAGGAGAGATGCCAACTAGGTTCTTGGAAAGTCACAAGGCTTTTGCAGAGGTCTCTGTCGCCTTGCTTGGCTCTTCCGTGGACCTGGACCAGTACAGTGCTACATAAAGACACCAGGGTCCCATTTGCCATGCAATAGGCCATACTGGCTGAGCGCTGAAGTCTTGCCACTTACTCCTAACTAATAACTCCGTGAGCTCCAGCTGTTGGGAAGATGTGAGGCTCAGAGAGGGGATCTCGTCACTGGCTGCTAAGTGCAGGACTCAGGGGCCTGGTCCTCTGTGGTGTCTGTTGCACCTGTCTCCCTCAAATACTCCCTGGACCCATTGCTCCCGAGGGAACGCAGGCTTCTGCCCTGGGAACCCCTGGAAACCTGTGACCAGTGCACCACAGTGAATGCAGAGCACCGAGCAGTCTCCGGGGGCTGAGTGGGACAGAGAGTTCTGTGCAGTGTGCTTGTTGTTGGTCGGCTTTGGCCCTACCCAGGGCCCTCTACAGAGGGAGTTCTGATTGTGGTCTCTGGATATCCTGGGAAGCCAACTCCCACGTGTTGCCTCATCTTAACCCATGCTTGCACAAGGCCTTGCCTTCATAGCCCTAAGCCCCACTGGCACCTGGAAGGTCCATCAGCTTCCAAGGGTCATCCCTCCTGTGTCCTTCAGCAGCTCCTGAAGCCACTTCCCTGACCACCATTTCTTGGACCACCTCGGAAGGCATCTCCTGTCCTGAATTCCTCTTGATTATCCCATCCCTGACTGTTTGTCCAGGAGTCCAGAAATGCACTTCCTGCTTCTAGAAGCATCAGGTGTTTCTAGAGTATAAAGAGAAAAGGCGGATCTCAAGTGCTGGACCTTCTCTCTGCCTTGCCTTCTCCTTGCTATCTATCAACAGGATGCCCCATTGGAGATGGCCTCTTCTCTGTTCTGAACCAGGGCTGCTTTGATGGCCCATGGGCAGGTGAATGAACACTGAGGTTGGCCATCAAGGACAGGATCTGGGAGCAGCAGATGTGGACAGCTCTCTAAGGACGGTGGGGCCATTGTGTTGTGGGATCTGGAAAGGAGATGCAGCCCCACCTCAGCGCGAGGGATGGAAATGGACCAAAGCTCCAATGCGGTGTACAGGAGTCCTAGCAAGCTCCGCACTGGAGGGATGCCCACGGATGGCGTGGGGCAGCCTTGAATGTATGAGATGGCACTGGAAGAAGCTGAGAAAATCAGAAACCTCTGTCATCCTCGGCCATCTTTGGAGCCATCTACAAGGTTCCTACAGCTGTGTCGTGCACTGGTCGGCACAGGGCCCACTTCCTCCTCTGACCGTGTGTGACTCCCTCAGTAAGAGCAGGTCTTCATTCCAGTTCTCCAAGCAGAGGCACCAAAGCTGGGCTCCCCACCTCTCTCTTGAGCAATCAAAGAGCAGCTGCTTTGAGAAGAAGGTGCATTCTTTTGACTATATAGTTGCCTCTTGACTTACGGTGGGTCTGGGTCCCAGTAATGAAATTGTCATTGAAGATGCAGTTCATACACCCAGTCTCCCCCAGATCATAGCAATTCAATAGATTGTAGGGTCCCCTTCTGATCACATGGTCCACTGGGAGCTGTGGCTGGCTGTTGATGCCCCAGCCTCATGAGAGAGGATCAGACTACATATCCATAGCAACAGAAAAGATCCAAATTTTAAGCTTTGTTTCTGTTGAGTACACATTGTTTACATGCCACTAAGCCATACAGTCATTGTAAGTTTGGAACCATATGTATTAGACTGGATAATTTCTGATTTTTCTTTTATCTTTCTTTTCTTTTCTTTTCTTTTTTTTTTTTTTTTTTTTTTTTGGTTTTTCGAGACGGGGCTTCTCTGTGTCACTTTGTTGCCTGCCCTGGAACTAGCTCTTGTAGATCAGGCTGGCCTCAAACTCACAGAGATCCTCCTGCCTATGCCTCCCGAGTGCTGGGATTAAAGGCATGCGCCACCACCGCCCAGCTAGACTGGATAGTCTTTAATTAAATTATAAGTCAAAGACATGCAAAAATATTCACTTCTCAGATGTTTGCCCCTTCTTATGGTTGCTGAGACAACTGGTCCTGCTGGGAGCAGACTGTGTGCCAGGTACTTACAAAATCTCCCATCTCTGTCCTCTTAGTGTTCATGATGTGGGTGCTTTGGGGGGGGGTCACCATTTTAAAGGGGATGAAACCAAAACACATCTTTCCCAAAGTCAGCTGGGAAAGGGCCTTCCAGTCCCATCTCCCTCCTCCCAAAGGCCTTCAACAACACATTCCTCTCTCGCGCAGCAGCTGGGGTGTACACACGCACAGCCTAGGATCCAGGCTTGCAGGAGGAGCTCCGGAAAGCACAGGCCTACGCAGATGGTAGGTAGCTTCCATCAGATACACTTCTCCTATCCCAACAAGGTACCATGACAGAGGAAGCACTGGGGAAGCAAGTGATCAGGGTGACCACAGCCCGTGACCCTCAGGGGCCCTCAAGTTTCCACTGCCCACCAGCAGGTTTCACAAGCCTACTGACGTTGACAGGGTGTCCTAAATGGAGCGAGCAGGAAGCTTCGGGCCTGTGGTCTGCCAGCATTGCTCAGAGTTTCCTGGGCTGAGCCTTTCTGTGGGGCCTCCTCGGGGCTCTGCCAATGCCCCCATCCTGAGGCTTTGTGGGTCCCATCTGGCTCTGAAAGACATCCTCTGCTCACTACAAACCAGAAGGGTCTGGGTGTTATTTCCCAGGGTCCTCCAGGGCTGCCAATGATCTTAGGGTGTCTGATGGTTTATAGGGACCAGTTCTACCAGGGACAGTGTTACCGCCAATCAATAGATCCGAGTCCTCCTCTCGAGTCAAGGCTACTGGCATTGTAGCCCTGGGCAGGAGTCTTATCTCCCACACTCCTGTCCTCATTCACTTTCCATGACAGCTAGAGAACCCTCAGCAATGGAGAGGTGCCCCAAGAGCTGATGACTCTCATGATGGAACCCCAGTCTGCCCCCAAACCCGCCCCAAGTCACTCTTCCTTATGAAAACTTCTAAGGTAGATTTCTAGGTCTCTGCAAAAGAGAGAAAGGGCATCCCAGGGAGGAGAGTACCCAAGGCAAGAAAGAGAGGAGAGAGAGAGAGAGAGAGACAGAGAGAGAGAGAGAGAGAGAGAGAGAGAGAGAGAGAGAG